TAATAATAATTATAATCTTTAATGAGTATTAGTTTAATGGAATAATTATTTCAGTTATAAGCTTATTATTTGTAGTTTATTTATTAATTTTAAAACCAATAGAGATAAAATTGTAATTAGTAGTTATCATTTTATCAGAGATCATATTGATAGTGCTTTTTATGATGTTTGAATTTATCTCTAATAAAAAATAACTTAATATAAATCCTTAGATAGCGACATACTTAGCCTTATGTAAATACAATTTTTTTAGATTTAATATTAATATTCTCATCTTAAAAATTTAGGTTTTGTTGCATCAACGATAATTCTTAGTATAATGTTTATTATAGCATTCGTTTTAAGTCTTTATTAATAATTGGATAATCATTTTAAAAATAAAAAAAATTAATAGATAAACAAATTAAATTAGTCACCAATTATGCAATAATTCTAAATTTTTAATTAATTTACTGATATTCAAAGTGTTTTGTCCTAATCTTTAGAAAATAATAAAATAAAATGGTCAAAATATCCTACTAAAAAAAGATGAAAGTTAATAAAATAATACATTTAATTGAAACTAAAAATTTAATAAAAATATCTATAAAAAATAATATTATAATAATAATTAAAATATGAATATAATAATTTATAATAAATTAAAAAAAAGTAATTTTTTGCTAATTTCAGATTTTTTTTTTGTAATAGAGAGATAAATAGAGATAGGTTACATCTATAACTATTTTTCTTTCTAATAGAAATTAATATAATATTAAATAAATTTATATAATAGTATTTTATATATTTTTATATAATTTGTATTTAGTTTTTTATAATTTAAATAAATTTTAATATAAGAGAGTTTTTTAAAAAATTTAATTTATTTCAAGATTAAAATAATAAATTTATAATTATATTCTGAGTAATTTAATTTGATTATTAATTTTTTTTTGTTAAAATTTTTATTAAATCTAAAATTCATAAATGAATGATAGATAGATCATATTTAATCATAAATTAAATAATTATTTTTAGTAATATACAGAGTAATTTTATTGAATAAGTTATGATTGAAGAATATTTTTGAAATTTTAAAAGACATAAGTTTATGATTAAAATTATATTTCGTAATTTAATTTAATTTTTTTCATTTACATCATTTGAATTTGATGATATTCAAATAGATGAAAATAGAAAATATATTGTGAAAAAAATTAATACTCCAACTAAGATTTTAAATTAGAAATTTAAATTTCATTGTAATACTTCTTAAATAATTAAATTATATTTATCTAATAAATATATTTTGGGATTTTTGTTAATAATCGAATAAGTTTTCTTTTCTAGGAATAATGATCTTTTAAATTTTGATTTCTATTATTCATATTAATTAATTAAGACTCATTTTATTCTGTGAGTAATGCTATTAAAAATGTAAGTAATATAAAGGAAAATTTGAGTATGATTGATTGAGTAAATCTTGCGTTTAAGATTTTATTTTATCTTCTACGAATTAAAAATAAATAACAAAAAATGAAGCATAAGAAGAAGGAAGATACTTTATCAAAAAAACTTGAATATTTAGAATTTAATTTAAAATTTATTTACTTTTTTCTAATATAGTAATTTATTTTTCTTTATTTTATTTATTTTTACCAACTCAAATGACTTTTTTAATTTAAGTGCTATCGTAACAAATTAATCAATTCTAATTAATTTAATGATATGTAAAAATTATTTAAAGAAAGCATATCAGCTTATAATTGTATACTTCAAAATATAAAATTAATAAAATTTTATTAACTATAACAAAAAAATATTTCATGTTTACATTTATTTTTAAATTAAGCAAAAATTATCCAATTATCTCTGACTAATATGAGCATATAAAAAAGTCTATTTTTTATATTTAAAACTATTAACAATTCCAAAACATAGAATAATTAGGCATAAATATATAGTCAAAGGTTTTTTAAACGATTTAGAATAAAAATAATATTGATTTAAATAGAATTTAAGCTATTTTTAAATATGTTTTGCACTAATTTTCAAAATCTTTAAAAAAATCATTTAATATAAATATTATTCTTTTAAAATAGTTATTTTAAAATAAAAAAGAAAAAATAATGTGAAATGGATTATCATTTCATATAATAATATTTAAATATGAAAAGATTGTAATTTCCATATATTTAGTAGTAAGCTATTCTTCTTAAAATTTTCTTTTATAGAAAAATTCTTTAATTAGTTTTTAACAAAGATTCTGATAAATAAATTTTATATATGTAAATCTGATGAATCTATTTCATTCTAAATTGGGAGTAATTTGTAATAGATTATTTGATTGTAACTTTTAAATCAAATTATTAATGAAAAAAAAATCAATATTAAAATGATAAAAATATTATATAAACATCTATTTTGAATTTTGGTTGATTGATAAATCAAAGAAGCAAGTTGTTACTTGCTAAATATTTTTATTATATTGATTAAGTCTTGTAAATAATTTTTTCTATCTAACAATAAATAACTAAATAATAGAAAATTTTGAATGGATTTTGGTAAAAACAAATCAAAAGTTTATTTCTAAGAATTGTTTATCATATTTCTTGGTATTGAAATGTAGATATCATAATAATAAAAAAAGAAATTTACAGTTGTTTGTAAGATTTTTAGACATACTTAATAAAATTTTAAAGTATGGTTATGATAAATTTTAAGTAGAAAATCATAATTAATTAATAAATACTTTCATATAATATTTTATTTATTTTTTTGGTTTGAAGATATCAAAGCGCTTTAACTGATGACAATATCTGTTTTCTAAAGAATTTTATATCTATTTTAATTGCTTTATATAATAACAAATATCTTTACTTAATATGAATTGACTATTCAATATCCTATTTTGAAAATATTTTGTTTACCTTACTTTAATCTCTTAGTTACCGAAAAAATAGTATTAAATAAATGTTTTACTAAAAAAGATAAGGAAGGTATCTTTTTAGTTTATTTATATAAAAAACGAAAACTTTTTACATTAATCTTGAGGAAGACATAAAATTCGTAATGTAGAGAGAGATGTAATTCAGCTAATTTTTATATTAATTCTAAAGAAAGATGATTAATTTAAGAAAAAGTAGGTGAATAGAAAGAGAATATTTTATTAAATAAAATTCAAAGCAAGTTAAAAAATATAGAGAGTTTTTAGTAGTGTTTATTTATCAAATTTCAAAATTAATATCTTTATTATATTAAATCTAATGTAAGCCTTAAATTATCAGATCAATTATTTATTTTTTTGGATATTCAATTTTTAAACTTACATGATAATTGTATTCACAAGTTAATAATTAAATCAATAGAGCATACAATTTTTTAATGATTTTTATGGTGAAAATTGTTTCTTTCTTTCTATCTATTTATAAATTTTAAAGAAAAGATCAAATCAACTTTGTAAAAAATTTTAATTCCTAACATCATTTTCAAAAATATAAATTTAAATCTTAAAAATCATATTTATTTTCTTATGAGCCAAACTAGAGTAAAAATTTCTTTTTAGTATTTGCCTGTTTTGATTTCTTCACTGTTCATAACTGTTCATAGATTAAAATTTGTACATTTCTCTAATTATTAGGTATTACTTAATGAAAATTAGCCAATCCTTCAAATTATTAATAGTGTTTCATTTAGCTTACAAATTAAAATATTGTAAGACAAATTAAAAATTAATAAAAGAATATTTATCAATTTATATTTCAATTTTATTGACATTAATAGATTCAAGGGGTTTTCAAAAACTATCAACGATTTAATGTAATCTTGAGTCTATTGCTCAACTTATAATATTCTTCTTGTTTATTTTAAAAGCATAAGTTAGTTACAAAAAGAGAAATTCATTCAAAAATGTAAAATTGTTCTCCTCTAACCCTTTAGATTAATATGTAAAAAAAATTGGATTTCTAATTAGTTATAAAATAATTTAATATTGATCATTAAAGTTTTATGGAGAGAATTCAATTTATCAACCAGCTTAAGACATAAAAAAAGAAAAAATCGGTGAATCAACAAAAGATAACAAAAGCTTAAATAATCTAATTATCATTATATTCAGATTATAATTAATTTTTTACACAATATCTAAAATTTAATTAACAAAAACAATGAAACCAAATATTCTATTGATTGCTTATACTATTTAGTTGTTCATTGTAAGAGCTATTGATGTTTTACCAATTGAAATATTATTTGATGTCCTCTTTATATAAGTAAATATAATTTTAAGAATATAATTATTTCTGCTGGCCCTTAGAATAAATTTTTTTAAATCTATCAGGAAACAAATTCTGTAATTTATCAAGCCTCAGACGATTTTAATTACAGATATAGTACCCTTGATACTTAAGGAATTATTACAGGCACTTATTCGTTAAATGGAATACAGGATATCCAGCAGAATACGAGATACTTTATCATAGATGTATTATTTTTTTAAATTTCAATCATAAATGAATTTTTAACACTTTAAAAAGAATTTACTTTACTTGCATTATTATTGGGGTGTAGAATATCATACTATTGATTTAAATAAAATGATAGCTGGTTAACAAGGGTATTTATAAACTATTTCATATCCGACAGCTGCTAAACCATGTGACTAACCTGTAATTTAAATCTAAAGAATAGTATAATAATATCTTTTTATAAATTTCTTATATTAAAAAATAATTTTATGAGCAATACATAAATTATATTTTATAAATTTTTTAAAAGGCAGGAGTTTACTTTTACTTGTGTTTTGATATATCAAATTAATTTATAATTTAAAGTTAAAGTTTTTAAGGCTTATTTAGTACTAAAAGCTTTTAAACATACAATTAGATTAGAAATGAAATCACTCATATAGTTTTAGATAATTAACTGTTTATGAATGGAAACACATATCAAATACTGATTTCATTTGTTAATTCTATAAACATAGTATTAGTCAATGTAATTTCAAATAAATTCATTTAAACTAAAAAATTAAAATTTTATTAATTGTAATTTTAATCATTAATTAATTCATATAAATTTTAATAATTTAAGCAAATTAATCTTTTATAAAATAATCAATAATTTTTTAGATGTAATATAACTTATATTTGATAGAAGATTACCTTACTTAAGTACAAACTACTAATTTAATATTTTAAGATATTAAATCAGTAAAACTAAATAATCCTAATCACATTGATTAACTTCTAATTTCTGATGTAATAAATTTTCAAAATGTAAATAATTAGCATTAATTAATTACTCCTAAAAATTTTATTTTTTTCTATTATTAAAATTTTAAATAGATCTCAATAATTACAGCATATGATTACTAAATAAAAGCTTTTAGATATTTTAATGTGTAAAATTTAACAGAATTATAATCAACAGGAGAGATTTTGCCTTTTGTTGATTACTAAACCTTTTTGTAACATGAGGTATTTAACAACTTTATAAAATAAATAAATATAATCAATTTATTTCATTTAAAAAAAACTAGAACATCATTTTAATTGGCACTTCTTAATACACTTTAACATATATCTCTTCATTAAACAAAGTTATCATAACTAAAAGTCCAAATACGTCTTAAAATTCATACACACTACGTTACTACCATATCATTTACTATGCTTTTTCATATGTATGAATTTCCTTTAAAACTAAAAATATTACTAAGTTTATTTACTTAATTTAGTCATTCACATATTAGGTTTACCAAGGATCTACTCAATACTTACTAAATATTAAATAGTTCCTTAATATTACATGCCCACCTTAATTTGTTCTAGATAGTTCAAAGACTAACTGCATTTGTAGACCTAACAGTATATTATAAAAGTAAAATTTCTTAAAGATTAAAAAATTTTCTAAATTCTGATTTCTATTTATTCATTGAAAATAAATTTAAATTAAAAAAATATTTTTAGCTAAAGTTGCCCATGCAATACATAATATATTGATATTAGTGGAGATTGCCTACCATGCCCGTTGTACTGCAACACATGTTCCTCTTAAATAACTTGCTCTCTTTGTCAAACAGGGTATTTACTTACTGTAAATGGTACTTGTGTTTCTACTTGCCCACTTAATTTTATCTAAGATTTAACTAAAACAAATTGCATTTGCCGCTTAAATAGTACTTTATTAAAGTAATTTTTTAAAATATAATTATAGCTTTCCCTAATTGATCATTAAAATTTTTTATCAATGTTTAGCTTTCAATGCCCATGCAATACAGGCTACATAGATGTAAATGATGGTTGCTAATAATGCCCATTAAATTGTGATGTATGTACAAGCTAAGCAGTTTGTTCTCAGTGCTCTTAAAATTATTATTTGACAGTATAAGGAACTTGTGTTGCTGCTTGTCCTTAGACATTTATATCTGATTCTACTTCAAAAATTTGTGTCTGTGGTCCAAATAGAACACTATAAAAGTAAAATTCTTTTAGAAAATATTTTATAAATTCTTATTTATCTTTTGCTATTGAAAATGAATTTAATTCTTTTTAAATACTTTTAGCTAAAGTTGCCCATGCAACACATAATATTTTGATTCCAATGGAAATTGCCTACCTTGCCCTTAGTACTGCAACACATGTTCCTCTTAAACAATTTGCTCTCTTTGTCAATCAGGGTTTTTACTTGCTATAGATGGTACTTGTGTTTCTACTTGCCCACTTACTTTTATCCAAGATTTAACTAAAACAAATTGCGTTTGCCGTTTAAATAGCACTTTATTAAAGTAATTTTTATAAAAATAATTAAAAGTTCCTTATTTGATCATTAAATTTTTTTCATCAATATTTAGCTTGCAATGCCCTTGCAATGCTGGTTACATAGATGTAAATGGCGAGTGTTAATCATGTCCATCAAATTGTGATGTATGTACAAGCTAATCAGTTTGTTCTCAGTGCTCTTAAAATTATTATTTGACAGTATAAGGAACTTGTGTTTCTGCTTGTCCTTAGACATTTATACCTGATTCTACTTCAAAAATTTGTGTTTGTGGCCCAAATAGAACACTACAAAAGTAAAATTACTTTTAGATTAAAAGATGTTCTCATTTCTGATTTATATTTTTTCTGAAAATGAATTTAATTCTTTTTAAATACTTTTAGCTAAAGTTGCCCATGCAACACATAATATTTTGATTCCAATGGAAATTGCCTACCTTGCCCTTAGTACTGCAACACATGTTCCTCTTAAACAATTTGCTCTCTTTGTCAAACAGGGTTTTTACTTGCTATAGATGGTACTTGTGTTTCTACTTGCCCACTTACTTTTATCCAAGATTTAACTAAAACAAATTGCGTTTGCCGTTTAAATAGCACTTTATTAAAGTAATTTTTATAAAAATAATTAAAAGTTCCTTATTTGATCATTAAATTTTTTTCATCAATATTTAGCTTGCAATGCCCTTGCAATGCTGGTTATATAGATGTAAATGGCGATTGTTAATCATGTCCATCAAATTGTGATGTATGTACAAGCTAATCAGTTTGTTCTCAGTGCTCTTAAAATTATTATTTGACAGTATAAGGAACTTGTGTTTCTGCTTGTCCTTAGACATTTATACCTGATTCTACTTCAAAAATTTGTGTTTGTGGCTCAAATAGAACACTATAAAAGTAAATAACTATAACTTCCTTATTTGATCATTAAAATTTTTTTATCAATACTAAGCTCTCAGTGCCCATGCAATACAGGTTATATAGATGTAAATAGTAATTGTTAATAATGTCCATAAAGTTGTGATGTATGTAGAAGCTAATCAGCTTGTTCTCAGTGCTCTTAAAATTATTATTTGACAGTATAAGGAACTTGTGTTTCTGTTTGTCCTTAGACATTTATACCTGATTCTACTTCAAAAATTTGTGTTTGCGACTCAAATAGAATACTATTAAAGTATAATTACTTTAAAATAAATATATTTTCTAAATTCTGATTTTTATCTTTTCTTATTGAAAATGAATTTAATTCTTTTTAAATACTTTTAGCTAAAGTTGCCCATGCAACACATAATATTTTGATTCCAATGGAAATTGCCTACATTGCCCATAGTACTGCAACACATGTACCTCTTAAACAATTTGTTCTGTTTGTCAAACAGGGTACTTACTTACTATAGATGGTACATGTGTTTCTACTTGTCCACTTAATTTTATCCAAGATTTAACTAAAACAAATTGTGTTTGCCGTTTAAATAGCACTTTATTAAAGTAATTTTTAGCAAAATTATTAAGTTCCCTATTTGATCATAAACATATTTTATCAATGTTTAGCTCTCAATGCCCATGCAATACAGGTTACATAGATTTAAATGGTGATTGTTAATCATGTCCATCAAATTGTGATGTATGTACAAGCTAAGCAGCTTGTTCTCAGTGTTCTTAAAATTATTATTTAACAGTATAATAAACTTGTGTTTCTTCTTGTCCTTAGACATTTATAACAGATTCTACTTCAAAAAAATGTGTTTGTGGTGCAAATAGAACACAAAAAAAGTAACTATTTTACAAATATTATTTTTATGATAAAAAAGTATTTAATTTTAAAATAAAGAATTTTGTTTTTTTTATTCTTTAAATAAAGTAATTTATGTCCATGCAATTCTTCATACGTAGATATTAATGGTGTCTGTTAACCTTGTTCTTCTAATTGCATATAATGCACTTCATAAACATAATGCACAGTTTGCTAATAGAATTTTTACTTAACAACTGATATGACTTGTGTAGCAACATGCCCATTAACATTTGTAGTAAATGCAAATCAAACCTAATGTATATGTGACATAAATAGAACATTAACAAAGTATTAAAAAATAATTAAATTCATAAATGTTAAAATAATATTTTTAATATTAATTAAAAAGCAATAAATGCCCTTGTAGTAGTGGTTTTATAGAAATTAATAATATTTGTAAATAATGTCCACAAAATTGTAATATTTGCTCATCACAAAAAACTTGTACGGTTTGTTAGGCAGGATATTATTTAACAGTGGATGATTTTTGTATCTAAACTTGTCCATTAACATTTGTTGGAGATTCTACTAAAACTAAATGCGTTTGTGATATAAATAGAACTTTAACAAAGTAAAATAATAGAAAATTATATAAAAAATAAAAATATTTAATTGATATAACTAGTAACTTGTGCCTCTGTAATGCAACATTCATTGAAGTTGGAGGTATATGTTAACCATGTCCGTAAAATTGTAAAAAATGCTCATCTTAAACTACTTGCTAAGTTTGCCAAGATGGATTTTATTAGACTGTAAATTAGACTTGTGTTTCCTAATGTCCTAATAGTTTTATTGTTGATGTTAAATAAAATAAATGTATCTGTGCAATTTATTAATCGCTATATAAGTAATTCAATTCATATCTTAATTTAAAATAGGGATTTAATTTTCTAAAAATCTATTTGAGTAAAATTTTTTTTAATTTTAAATCTTGGTATTTAATTAAAGAATTTTAAAAAACTCCATGTTCTTTCATCCCTCCCTCTTAATCTTATCTAATATTATATAATTAAAATATGAAAATAATTTTATATTTTATGAAAATAGCAACTAATGTATTACATGCTAAGATGGATGCATTAAATGTACTAGCCCATCTGATTGTTAGTAATACTCTAATTGTGGTTAATAATTTAAATATGATTTCTCATCATAAACATGCGTGAAATGTTTATGGGATGTTTAAGCAAGAAAATGTGTAGATACTTGCACAAATAAATAACTTTATGATCCATAAAAATTACTTTGCTAATAATGCTATTATTATGATGGAATATGCTAAAGCTCATGTCCTATTGGTTTTTACTCTGACAATACTTTTTAATGTTAATAGTGTAACTCATAATGTAAATCATGTAAAGGGCCTAATAGTAATTAATGTACTAGATGTAACTTTCCACTTTATTTATAGGATGACAACACTTGTTCTGTATGCTTATTAGGATAATTCTTAGATTAACAATAAAATATTTGTAAAATGTGTAATATTAGATGCTTATCCTGTTTTGGACCGAATTCAAACAACTGTTTATCTTGCGTATAACATAAAATTCTATCAAAAGACAATAATGAATGCTTAACTTAATCTTAAATTTAAAGTTAAGTTGAAAATGAATTAAAGATAAAATATTCTAATTGTAAGTTTTAAATTTTATTATCATAAAAAATTATTTACTTAATTTTAATTTATAGGTGACCAAACAAGCTTTGATTGCTCTTCTCTTTTTGCTCTATAAGAACTTATTTAAAAAGTTTCTTCAGGAGTGTTTATAGCTACCATTATCTCCCTCTTTTTATTTTTAATTTTTTCTAGTTCAAATGGACTATTAGGCTGGTACTGTATTTAGATATTTTAGCTGATAGGAAATTTAACTTTAAATAAAAATATGAATATATTTTGGTTAAATATAGGATTTTTAAAGAATTTACTTGCATATAATTTCTTGAATTTGGTTACTAAAAATCCATTTTAAAATGTTAGTGATATTTAAATAGATTTTAACTTATTTTAAATTGGCATATAAATTTAAGATTTCTACAAAAATATAATACAAAATTGTTTTTATCATTTGATAGGATTAGCTTTAATCCTTTTTTTAATGTTGAAAACTTATTTTTTGAAAAACCAATCTGGAATATTTAAGAGACTAAGCGAATATATGATATTTAATGGGCTTATTAGATATTTTATGATCATCTCTAATTTTATATTCTTTTGTATCTTTAATTCAATAGAATAAGAAAATTATCTAGAAAATGGAAATATTTATGTAATAGGTGCTTTTGGCTTAATATATTTATCTCTTTATACCTTTATCGTAATTTCTATTCTGATAGGCAATTAAAATCTTAGCTAATCAATCTATGTTACATAATTAAATATAATTTAATATAAAAGAGTTCACTAATTATTTTGGTGCTTTTTTGAGGCTAGAAAAATAGCTTGTATAATAATAATTGTATTATTTAAAGAGTATTAGTTTAATGGAATAATTATTTCAGTAATAAGCCTACTATTCGTAGTTTATTTATTAATTTTAAAACCGATAGAGATAAAATTGTAATTAGTAGTTATCATTTTATCAGAGATCATATTGATAGCGCTTTTTATGATGTTTGAATTTATCTCTAATAAAAAATAACTTAATATAAATCCTTAAATAGCCACATATTTAGCCTTATGTAAATACAATTTTTTTAGATTTAATATTAATATTCTCATCTTAAAAATTTAGGTTTTGTTGCATCAACGATAATTCTTAGCATAATGTTTATTATAGCATTTGTTTTAAGTCTTTATTAATAATTGGATAATCATTTTAAAAATAAAAAAAATTAATAGATAAAAAAATTAAATTAGCCACCAATTATGCAATAATTCTAAATTTTTAATTCTTTTACTGATATTCAAAGTGTTTTGTCCTAATCTTTAGAAAATAATAAAATAAAATGGTCAAAATATCCTACTAAAAAAAGATGAAAGTTAATAAAATAATATATTTAATTGAAACTAAAAATTTAACAAAAATATAATTTATCTTATCTTATAAACAAAAAATAATATTTAAATAATAATTAAAATATGAATATAATTTATAATAAATTTAAAAAAAGTAATATAATTAAAAAATAGTAATTGATTGGCCAAACAAATTATATATTTATTAATATTTGTAATGAAAGTTATTTTCTTAAACAATTTCTTTTTATTATTAATTTTTAAATATTCAAGACCCCCTTTATCCATGTATTTTTTGTAAATTTTAATATTAAAATTTAAATCAACTAGTTTTTCAATCTTTTTTCTTTTAGATGTAATGCAATGTTGATTAAAAGTAATTTAATATTTTATTTATGAATAATATTTAAAAGAAATGGATAACTTAATATCGCTCATTCTATTCTTAATCTTTTAATGTTTGATAACAAAAGTACATTTTTAAAGCATTCTTTTCCAACAAAAACATATAACACTAGAATGAGAGAAAAAGATAGATTATAAACCAAATCATTATTAAAAAATTCATTCATAGGCAGTTATATCTTTAAATGGTAAAAGTGAAATTTATTTATTTAGTGAAAACTTAGATGGTCACCTGTATAGATATATCTTAAAGTAAAATCTTTTTCCATTTGCTCTAAATAACTTTAAAAAAAACCTAATTTATACTCCTAAAAGAATCCCAAATATATGGCAAAAGAGAATATAGATTTGTTCAATTAAAAAAAAATCAATAGGGTTTATGATTGGCCTGCTAATTCACCAATCATAATCCTATTGAAATGTTTGGAATTTAATTAAAAAATATATATCTAAAATTTTACCAAACAATATTTAAGAAATCCAAAGATTAATTTAAAAAGAGTGGATTTATCTATCTTAATAAACTATCCAAAACTTGATTAATAGTTGGGAAGATAGATTAAATAGGTAATAAGATATTGTATATATTATTTGAATATATTTATCTGTATGTACTCTACTTAATTTTTTTGTATGTATGATAAAAATACCATTTCTCTTTGAGTAATTTAACAACTATTTTATATTTTTTAGTTTAAATTTATATATTGAACTATTTTTAGATAATGTAATTAATTAATTATCAAAATGCTTTAAATTTATTGATTGATAGTTATTAAAAGTTTTTCTTTAATAATTTAAATACTTGCCTATAGATTTGTGAAAATAGGCATATAAATTTAAGATTTCTACAAAAATATTGTACAAAATTGCTATTATTAATTGATAGGATTAGCTTTTATCCTTTTATTAACTATAAAAGCTTATTCTTTGTAAAACCATTTTGAAATACTTAAGAGAGTAAACAAATATTTAATATTTAATGGACTTATTAGATATTTAATGATTATCTCTAATTTTTTAATCCTTTGTATCTTCAATTCAATTTAATAAAAAAATAATTTAGAAAAGGAAAATATTTATGTAATAGGTATTTTTGACTTAATCTATTTATCTCTTTACACCTTTCTAGTAGTTTTTATTATAATAGGCAGTAAAAACATAAGCTAATTAATAATTGTTACATAATTAAATATACTTTAGGATAAAAGAATTCACTAATTCTTTTGGTGCTTTTTTGAAGCTAGGAAAATAGCTTGTATAATAATAATTGTATTCTTTAATGAATATTAATTTAATGGAATAATTATTTCAGTAATAAGCTTAATATTTGTAGTTTATTTATTAATTTCAAAACCAATAGAGATAAAATCGTAATTAATAGTCATCATATTATCAGAGATCATACTAATATCACTTTTATAATATTTTAATTTATATCTAATAGAGAATAGCTCAGTATAAATCCATAGATAGCCACATATTTAGCATTATGTAAATACAATTTTTTTAGATTTATATTTTAATTCTTTTTCAAAAATTTAGGTTTTGTTGCATTAACTATAACTCTTAGCATAATATTCAATATATTATTCTGCTTAAGTCTTTATTAATAATTGAATAGTTATTTTAAAAATAAAAAAGAAGAATAGATAAAAAAATAAAATTAGCAGTAAATAATAGAATAACTCGAAATTTTTAATTCTATTAGTGATATTTAAAATGTATTGTCCATCTCTTTAAAAAACAATAAAATAAAATGGTAAAAATATCCTGCTAAAAAAAGATGAAAGTGAATAAAATAAATAATACATTTATTTGAAACCAAATATGTAATAAAAATATAATTTATCTAAAAAACAAAAATTTATATTTAGAAAATAATAAAACATAATAATTTATTGATTATATAGCTGTTACTGAATTTGAAATAGCACCTACCATTAATGATATCATGATTTGTGATATTTCAAATTATTATTATATTAATTATGAATATTTTTTGTTTTAAATCTTAATTATTTTCTTTATATTTGATTTTAAATGACCTAAATTAATCAAAATACATCATCTATATAAAATATAAAAAATGCAATTCTTTTTTAAGTTTTTGACCCAAACCAAAAAAGTTTATAACAAATAATGATATTTTATTAATGGTAAGAATTGTAGAACTTACTAGTAAGATTATTTGATAATATCTGATTCCAAAATGTACTTGAAGCCAAAAGAATATGAGGAAATATATTAGTAAAATAATTAATTTAAAAATTTTGTCAAATATCTATGGGATACTGATAAAAAGATATGCAAAAAAGATTGCTATTCTAAATAGCATAAGGAAACTACGAAATTAATATGAGTAAAGTGGATAATTATTATAAGGAAATTGTGTGGTTAATTGTCTGCTCAAATAATATAATGATTAAGACATTTAAAAATACCCTCCTCTTAGTAATAAAAAGGAAAATCTGAGGATGATTGTATATCTTGTGTTGAAGATTTTATGTTATCTTCTAGAAATTAAAAATTTATAGCAAAAAATAAAGCATCAGATGAAGATATTTTATCTAAAAAACTTGAATACATAATGTAATTTAAAAAATTTAATTACACTTTTCAGATATTGTAACCTATTTCTCATTATTTTATTTTATTTATTTTTACCAATTAATTGAACTTTTTTAATTTAAAGCCTTATGTTATAACAAATTAACCAATGCTGATTATCAAATTAGCTTTAATTTATTAATAGTTTTTTTGAAATAAAAAAGTTAAGACTATTCAAGTTTTGATTGCCAAATTCAGTAAAGCTTCTTAGACTTATTTTAAAGTCTACACTAACTACATTATGCTTTTTGCATTTTTATCATTTTCAGCACATTTTTTTCTGGTTTTGGTTTCTAATATTAGGCAAAAAATATTTTTCTTTATTTAAGTAGAATAAATAGAGGGTAATTTTAATATTGACAAAAGATTAAACTTACTTAATTTATATTTAGTATTAAATAATAACATTTAATAAGTTCTTAAATTGAAAGTAATTTGTATAAAATTATTTGATTTTAACTTTTGAAAAAATATTAAATGAAAAAAAATTTATATGAAATTCTATTGTTTGTAATTATTTAACAGCAATTTTGAATTTTAGTTGATAAATAACTCAAAGAAACATCTTGTTACTTTTAATTTATTGATTAAGTCCTGCGAATAATTTTTATATCAATAAATAATTATAAATTTCTAGAATTTCCTTTAAGATCTGTAAGATGTGCTTAATAAAATTTGATTACATTGATTAAGATTAATTTCAAGTAGAAAATTATAATTTGAAATAAATTAATTTATTCAAACTTCTTAAAAAAATTATTAATGAAAAAAATTTGATATTAAAAACATTTAAACAAACAAACATTATATAGTATAAATCTCAAAATTAAAACATTTTTGAAGAATAAAAATTTTAATAAGTTTTCTTAAAAAAAATAGAAAATTTAATTTTAAATGATTAAAATTTTTATTTTGTATTAAATTAGTTATGGTATATTCAATATATAATTTAAATGTTAATCTCTTTTTTCAAAGCATTTTTAATAAAAGAAATAAATAATTAAGAAAAATAAATACTTTCAAATGAATGTTTAGTCTCATTTTTAATACTCATTTCAATTAATAGAAAGTATTTGCATTATTAATTTATTATTAATGTAAAACTTTTTGTAAAAATATAATAGTCTATTTGAAAAAAAATATTTCACATCAAATTTTAAGTTTAAAAAATTATTTATTTAAATAATTCTATCATGATAATTTAAAAGCTAAAAAAATAATCTAAAAAATTGAGCAATAAAATTATAAAGAAAATTTGAGACTGTCAAACTTAATCAGATGATAGAAGGAAATTATTTTATTATAAAAAATACAAAGCAAGTTAAAATTTATTAGTGCATTTCTAATAGATTTGTAAAGAAATTTCAAATTGAATATCTTTATATAGATACAGTTCTAATAGATTGATTGATAATCAAATTTCAAAATGAATATCTTTATTGTGTTTACATTAATTTTAATATAAATTATCAAATCTAGTGTTTTTTAGGAATTAAATTAATAATCTATAAATTAATTGTATCCACAAATGAACAAATTAGATTTATCATACATAAAAGTTTTTTTGTTTTTAACTGTGTAATTGCTTCCTTTTAGAAATTTATAAGTTTTGAAGAAAAGATTAAATCATCTTTCCAAATAATTTAAGTTCATATCATAATATTCTTGTTTGTTTTTTAAAAATATATGTTTTCTCTAAAAATTATAAAAATTTTTACATTTTAAAAGCCAAAACTAGATTAGAATTTTTGTTTTTGGTATAGTTGTTTTGATTTCTTCACCATTCATAGATTAAAATTTTTATCTAACTCTATTAATTATTTACTTAATAAAAATTAATCGATCATTAAAATTATTCATAGTGCTTCATATGGCTTACTAATTCAAAGATTGTAACATCAAATATAAAAGAATATATTTTAATTTATATTTCAATAATATCGACATTAATAGATTCAAGTTATTTTCAAAAACTATCAAAGGATTTAATATAATTTACGTCACTCAGCTTAAGTAGGTTAAAATAATAAAAATTCATTCAAAAATGCTGAATTTTAAAAAATAAAAAAAAAGGGAATAAATAATCAGGTGGATCAAAAATAATAATAAAAGCTTAATTCATTACTAATATTCAGTTTATAATTAATTTAACAATATTTAAAATTTAAAATAACAAAAAAATGAAAGCAATTATTATATTGATTGCTTATACTATTTAGCTATTAGTTGTAAGAGCTATAGATGATTTACCAATTCAAATATATAATGGTGTCCTATTTATAAAAGTAAATAAATTTTTAAGAATGTAATTATTTCTGCTGGTACTTAGAATGAACTTTTTTAAATTTAATAGGAAAGAAATTCTGTAATTTACAGGGCCTCAAGTGATTCTACTTACAGATATAGTACACTTGATACCTAAGGAATGATTACAGCTACTTATTTTTTAAATCGATTAAGGGATATTAAAGAGACTACCAGATATTTTATCATAAATGTATTATTCTTTTTAAATTAAAATCATAAATAAATTTTTTTTGCTTTAAAAAGGATATGCTTTATTTAAATTATTTTGAGTAGAATTAATATTTAGATATTATTGATTTAAATCTAATGCTATCTGACAAAACAGATTATTTATAAACTATTTAATATGAGAGAACTGCTCCATAGTGTTATTATAATAGAATTATCTAAGAAATAGTATAATAATAACTCTTTATAATTTTTTTTAACAAAAAAAAAATAAAGTTATGAGCAAAACATATAATATATTTTATTTATTACTTAAAAGGCAGGAGTTTACTTTTTCATCTGTTAAAATTCTTTTTTTTAATTTAGCTCGACATTTTAAGATTTAATTAGTTCTCCTACCAACAGTTAAAAATTTAAGAGTATAAGAAATGAAAAAACTCATATAGTTGCAGATAATCAACTGTTTATGAATGGAAATATATATCAAATACAGATTTCATTTATTTAAACTGTAAACATAGTATTAGTCAATGTAATTTCAAATAAATTCATTTAAATTAAAAAATTAAAATTTTAATAAAAACTATTTAAAATTTCAATTCAGATTTCTACCAAAAAAATTAATTTTAAATTAATATAAGAAATCATTAAATATGTTTTTATTGATAAAAATTTAATTTAATTGCAATCATTAATTCAAAAAAATTTGAATAATTTAAACAAATACATATTATAAAATAATTAATAATTTTTTAGATGGAATATAATTTATATCTGATATAAGATTACCTTACTAAAGTAGAAACCACGAATTCAATATTTAAAAACGTTCATTCAGTAAATCTAAATAATCATAATCACATTGATTAACTTCTTGTTTCTGATGTAATAAATTTTCCAAATGTAAAAATTGTCATTAAACTTTTTCATAAATATTTTATTTATTTTCTATTTTCAAAAATTCAATTAGATCTCATTTATTGTAGCTTATGATTTCAAATAAAATGCTTTTAAATATTTTGATGTGTAAACTTTATCAGAGTTATAATCAACAGGAGTAACTCTACCTTTTGTTGATTCATAATCCTTTTTGTAATATAAGGTATTTATCAATATCATAAAATAAATATAATTTAAATATTTCATTTTAATAAATACTAGAACATCATTTTTATTGGTACTTCTTAATATGTTTTAACATATATCTCTTCATCAAACAAAGTTGAAATTTCTAAAAGTACGCATACATCATAAAACTCATACACACTACCTAACTATCATATTATTTTATATGCTGTTTCATATGTAAGAATTTCCTTTAAACCTAAAAATACGACAAAGTTTATTTATTTAAATTAGTCCTTCACATATTAGGTTTTTTAAGGGAGTGATCAATACTTAGTAAATATTTAATAAACCCTTAATGTCTGTAATCCTGGTTGTTTAACATGTGATTCAATAACTGCCTGCAATATTTGCTCATAACCTCTTTACTTGAATAATCAATTTTAATGTATTTCTACATGCCCTAGTTAATTTGTTCTAGATATTTCTAATAATAATTGCGTTTGTAGGTCTAATAGTACATTATAAAAGTAAAATTTATTTAAGACTAAAAGATTTTCTAGATTCTAATTTTTAATCTAATGAAAATAATAAATTTAATTCCTTTTAAATATTTTTAGCTAAAGTTGCCCCTGTAACACATCATATGTAGATATTAATGGAAGTTGTCTACCTTGCCCATAATACTGTAACACATGTACCTCCTAAAAAACTTGCTCTATTTGTCAAACAGGGTATTTACTTGCAGCAGATGGTACCTGTGTTTCTACTTGCCCAACTAATTTTATCCCAAATTAAACTAAAACATATTGTGTTTGCCGTTTAAATAGCACTTTATTAAAGTAATTTTTATAAAAATAATTATAGCTTCCTTATTTTATCATAGAATTTTTTATCTATCTATTTTTAGTTTGCAATGCCCATGCAATACAGGTTACTTTGATGTAAAAGGTGATTGTAAATAATGTCCATATAACTGTGATGTATGTATAAGCTAAACAGCTTGTTCTTAGTGTTCTAAAAATTATTATTTGACAGTATAATAAACTTGTGCTTTTCCTTGTCCTTAGACATTTAAACCTGATTTTATTTCAAAAAAATGTGTTTGTGACTCAAATAGAACATTATAAAAGTAATTATTTTACAATATATTATTTTAATGATAAAAAGTTTTTTAATTTGAAAATAAAAAATTTTCTTTTTTTTAATTCATTAAATAAAGTAATTTATGTCCATGCAATTCTTCATACGTAGATATTAATGGTGAATGTTAACCTTGTTCTTCTAATTGCATAAAATGCACTTCATAAACATCATGCGCAGTTTGCTAATAGAGTTATTACTTAACAATTGAGATGACTTGTGTAGCAAAATGCCCATTAACATTTGTAGTAAATGCAAATCAAACCTAATGTGTTTGTGATATAAATAGAACTTTAACAAAGTAATAAAATAATTAATTTCATAAATGTTAAAATAATATTTTTAATATTAATTAAAAAGCAATAAATGCGTTTGTAATAGTGGTTTTATAGAAATTAATAATATTTGCAAATAATGTCCATAAAATTGTAATACTTGCTCATCACAAAAAATATGCACAGTTTGTTAGATAGGGTATTATTTAACAGCGGATGGTATTTGTACATAATCTTGTCCATTAACATTTATTGTAGATTCTACTAAAACGAAATGCGTTTGCGATATAAATAGAACTTTAACAAGGTAAAATAAAAAAAATTAACATAAAAAATAATTTTTATTGATATAATTAGTAATTTGTGCCTTTGTAATGAAACATTCATTGATGTTGATGGTAAATGTTAGCCATGTCCTTAAAATTGTAAGAAATGCTCATCCTAAACTATCTGCTAATTTTGCCAAGATGGATTTTATTAGACTATAAATTAGACTTGTGTTTCCTAATGTCCTAATAGCTTTATTGTTGATGTTTAATAGAAAAAATGTATCTGCACTATTAATTAATCACTTTTTAAGTAATTGTCAATTCATATCTTAATTTAAAAAGAGGATATCAATTTCTAAAAATTTTTTTTATTTTTTAAAAAGATTAAAGTATTTTATTAAAGAATTTTTAAAAATGTCATTTTCTTTTTTACATTCTTCCCTCTTAATTTTATCAAAATTTATTTTATTAAATATGTGAAAATAATTTTATATTTTATGAAAATAGCAACTAATGTATTACATGCTAAGATGGATGCATTAAATGTACTAGCCCATCTCCATCGGATTGTTTGTAATACTCTAATTGTGGTTAATAATTTAAATATGATTTCTTATCATAAACCTGCATATAATGTTTATGGGATTTTTAAGCAAGAAAATGTGTAGATACTTGTAAAAATTAATAATTTTATGATTCATAAAAATAACTTTGCTAATAATGTTTTTATCATGATGGAAAATGCTAAAGTAAATGTCCTAATGGTTTTTACTCTGACAATACTTTTTAATGTTAATAGTGTAATTCACAATGTAAATCATGTAATGGGCCTAATAATAATCAATGCACTAGCTGTGAATTACCACTTATTTTATAAGATGACAGTACTTGTTCTATCTGCAAATTAGGAGAATTCTTAGATTAATAATAAAATATTTGTAAAAAATGCAATATCAGCTGCTTAACCTGCTTTGGACCGAATTCAAATAACTGTTTATCTTGCATACAAGATTAAGTTCTATCAAAAGATAATAAAAAGTGCTTGAATTAATCTGAAATTTAAAGCTAAGACAAAAATAATTTAAAGATAAAATATTCTAATTGTAAGTTTTAACTTTACTATAATAAAAAATTAATTACATAATTTTAATTTACAGGTGACTAAACAAGCTTTGATTGCTCTTCTCTTTTTACACTATAAGAGCTTATTTAAAAAGTCTCTTCAGGAGTTTTTATAACTACCATAATCTCCCTCTTTTTATTTTTAATTTTTTCTCGTTAAAATGGATTGTTAGGCTGGTACTGTATTTAGATATTTTAGCTGATAGGAAATTTAGCTTTAAATAAAAATATGAACACATTTTGGTTAAATATAGGATTTTTAAAGAATTTTCTAGCAAGTAATTTCTTGAATTTGATTACTAATAATCAATTTTAAAATGTTAATGATATTTAGATAGATTTTAATTAATATTAAATTGGCATATAAATTTAATATTTCTACAAAAATATATTACAAAATTGTTTTTATCAATTGATAGGATTAGCTTTTATCCTTTTTTTAATGATGAAAACTTATTTATTGAAAAACCAATATGAAATATTTAAGAGAGTAAATAAATATCTAATATTTAATGGGTTTATTAGGTATTTTATGATAATCTCTAATTTTTTTATCCTTTGTATCTTCAATTCAATAGAATAAAAAAATTTCATTGAAAAGGAAAATATTTATGTAATGGTCATTTTTGGGTTAATTTATTTATCTCTTTACGCCTTTATCCTAGTTTCTATTCTGGTAGGTAGTTAAAATCTTAATGAATACATCTATGTTACATAATTAAATATACATTAAAATAAAAGAATTCGCTAATTATTTTGGTGCTTTTTTGAAGCTAGAAAAATAGCTTGTATAATAATAATTGTATTCTTTAATGAATATTAGTTTAATGGAATAATCATTTCAGTAACAAGCTTACTGTTTGTAGTTTATTTATTTATTTCGAAACCAATAGAGATAAAATAGTAATTAATAGTCATCATTTTATCAGAAGTCATATTGATATCACTTTTTATGCTTTTTTAATTTATATCTAATAGATAATAGCTCAGTATAAATCCATAGATAGCAACATATTTATCATTATGTAAATACAATTTTTTTTAGATTTAATATTTATTTTCTTATTTCAAAAATGTAGGTTTTGTTGCATCAACTATAGCTCTTAGCATAATATTTATCATAGCATTCTGCTTAAGTCTTTATTAATAATTGGATAACCATTTTAAAAATAGAAAAGATGAATAGATAAAAAAAAAAAATTAACAGCAAATTATAGAATAACTCGATATTTTTAATTCGATTAGTGATATTTAAAATATATTGTCCGTTTCTTTGAAAAACAATAAAATAAAATGGTAAAAATATCCTACAAAATAAATATGAACATGACATGAATTAAATAAAACATTTAATTGAAAAAAAATAAAATCTATCTTATTATCTAAAAATTATATTTATTAAATAATTTAAATATGAATATAATTTGGGTAAACTCTCATATTTTATACACCGCAGTCTAAAGAATTTAATTAATACAATGTCCCCTATTATTTAAAATGCACACTTTATACTTTGAGGTTATAATAAAAAAATAATAATTAAAGTATTAAAAAATGAAATTTTATAGTTGTCTGTCAAGAATGTTTGTTTTTAGTAATATTTACTAAACATTTATTGTATTGATTATGATTAATTTCAAGTAGAAAAATTATAATTAATATATACTTTCAAATAATTTATTTATTTTTTGGTTTGAAAGCTTATCAAAACATATAATAGCTATGCTAATATCTATTTTCTAAAGAATTTTTAAAAAAATAATATTATTGATAACAATTATGTTAAATTAATATGAAAAAATCACTTTTATTTTTTTTTTTGAGGAGATTTTATTTACCATACTTTTAATCTCTTTGTTACAAAAATGAGTCTTTTATAAATGAATTTAAATATTACTTAAGGTAAAAAGGATTTTTTAGTTTTTTTCTAAAAAAAGTAAGAAAGCAAGTAAGTAAGTATTTTAGATTAATTAATTTTGGGGATATTAAATATATAATCTTTTGAGATATAATTTAATAAAGCTTTCAATTGTTTTTAAGCAAGTAGGATTAATTTAAGCAAATGAATGATAAATCATTTGTAAATAAAATCATAATTCTTCTATTTATTTTATTTATGTGATATCTAAATAATAATATTTCTAGCTTTATTCATTTCATATTTTAGTTATATTGTGTCTGTTGAGTAATACTAATTAATTATCATTTGTAACTTTAAAATTCCTTATCTCAATTTAGAATTTTATTATTTTTCAGATTAGAATAATTATTGGTAATCAAATTTCAAAATGAATGAATATCTTTATTGTGTTTACATTAATTTAAGCAAAAATTATCAGATACGGCATAATATTTATTGATGTTATAATATATTGATTGTTAATCAAATTTCAAAATGAAATAATCATTTGTAAATAAAATCATTATTCTTCGATTTATTTTATTTATGTGATATCTAAATGATAATATTTCTAGCTTTATTCATTTCATATTTTAGTTATATTGTGTATGTTGAGTAATACTAATTAATTATCATTTGTAACTTTAAAATTCCTTATCTCAACTTAGAATTTTATTATTTTTCAGATTAGAATAATTATTGGTAATCAAATTTCAAAATGAATGAATATCTTTATTGTGTTTACATTAATTTAAGCAAAAATTATCAGATACGGCATAATATTTATTGATGTTATAATATATTGATTGTTAATCAAATTTCAAAATGAATATCTTTATTGGGTTTACATTAATTTAAATCAAATACAGAATAGTATTTTTTGACGTTCTAATAGTTGATTGTTAATCAAATTTCAAAATGAATATTTTAATTAGGTTTAAATTAATTTAAACATAAATCATCAGATATAATTTTTTGATGGATATAAAATTTTTTAATTGAAAAGATAATTGTATCGATAAATCAATAAATTAAATCAATCCAACATAAATTTTTTTTGATTTTTATGGTGATAATTGATTCATCCTAGCTATTTATAAATTTTGAAGAAAAGATTAAATCATCTTTCTAAATAATTTAAGCTCGTATCATTATATCACTGCTTTAAAAGATATAAATTTAAATTTTTAAAAGCAAAATCAATAGGAAAAGTTAGTTTTTGGTATCAGATTGTTTTGATTTCTTCACCATTCATAGATTTAAAATTGCATCTAACTCTATTAACTATTTGCCTGTACTTAATAAAAATTAACCGATCATTAAAATTATTCATAGAGCTTTATCTATCTGGTTACAAGTTCAAAGATTGAAATATCAATTAAAATTGTATAAAAGAATATTTATTAATTTTTATTTCAATAATTTTGAGATTAATAGATTCAAGTTATTTTCAAAAACCATCAAAGGATTTAATGTAATCTAGTATCTTCGCTCAACTTAAGTAACTTTTTTTTATTTTAAAAGTATAATCATGTTTGTAAAATGAGAAATTCATTCAGAAATGCTAAATTTGAATTAAAACATAAGAAAAATGAAAATCAGTTGGAACAACAAAATACAGCTTGAAATACTAATCTCTTTTTTTTTCAAAGTATTTTTAATAAAAGAAATAAATAATAAAAAATATTAATATTTTCAACAGAAAGAATAAGCATTAATTTATTACTTATGTAAAACTTTTTCTAAATTATAATAATCTAATTGAAAAAATTCTTTATATAAAATTTTAAGCTTAAAAAATGATTTATTTAAATTATTCTATCATTTGATAATTTTATAGATTATAAAGTTATCTAAAAAATTGAGCCATAAAATTATAAAGAAACTTTGAGACTATAAACCAAATCAGATTAATAGAAGGAAATTATTTTATTATAAAAAATTCAAAGCAATTTAAATTTATTGATGAAGTTCTAATAGATTGGTAATCAAATTTCAAATTGAATATCTTTATAGTGTTTACATTAATTTTAAACATAAATTATCAGATATTAGTGTAGTATTTATAGATGTAATTATAATAGATTGATTGAAAATCAAATTTCAAAAGGAAAATCTATATTGTGTTTACATAAATTTCAATATAAATTATCAAATCTAGAGTTTTTTAGGAATTAAATTTATAATCTATAAATTAATTGTATTCACAAATGAATAAATAAGATTTATCATACATAAAAGTTTTTTTGTTTTTAACTGTCATAATTTCTTTCTTCTAGCAATTTATAAGTTTTGAAGAAAAGATTAAATCATCATTCCAAATAATATATGTTCATTTCATCATATTCTTTCTTGTTTTTAAAAAAAATAAGTTTTCTCTAAAAATTATAAAAAATTTTACATTTTAAAAACCAAAACTAGTGTAGAAATTTGTTTTTGGAATTATTGTTTTGATTTCTTCACCATTCATAGATTAAAATTTTAATATAACTCTATTAATTATTTACTGAATAAAAATTAATCGATCATTAAAACTTTCGTAATTAATGCTTCATATGGCTTACTAATTTAAAGATGGTAACATGAATTAAAATTGTATAAAAAGAATAAATTTTAATTTATATTTCAATAATATCGACATTAATAGATTCAAGTTATTTTCAAAAGCCATCAAAGGATTAAATTTAAATTACAACACTCAACTTAATTAACTTTTTTTATTTTAAAGGTATCTTTATGTTATAAAAATAAAAATTCGTTCAAAAATAATAAATAAATTTTAAAACATAAAAAAAGGAATAATCAGCAGATCTAAAAAAGATAATAAAAGTTTAATAAATCTAATTATTACTAATATTCATTCAGTTTATTATTAATTTCACAATTTTTGAAATTTAAAATAACAAAAACGATGAAAACAATAATTCTATTGATTGCTTATGCTTTTAAATTATTAATTGTAAGAGCTATTGATGTTTTACCAATTCAAATATAAAATAGTGCCCTATTTATAAAAGTAAATAAAATATTAAGAATTTAATTATTTCTGCTTGCACTTAGAATTAAATTTTTTAAATTTTATAGGAAACAAACTCTGTAATTTATAAGGCCTCAAGTGATTCTACTTACAGGTATAGTACATTTGATACCTAAGGAATAATTACAGCTACTTATATGTTAAATGGAATAAGGGATATTGAACCGGGTACCAGATATTTTATCGATAATGTATTATTCTTTCATTTTAAATTGCAATCATAAATAAATTTTTTATGCTTTAAAAAGGATATGCTTTATTTAAATCATTTTCAGAATAATTAATTATAAGATATTATTGATTTAGGTCTAATGGTATCTGGCTAAACAGGGTATGTAAAAATTCTTGTTGAATATTAGAAAACTGGTCCAAGCTGTCTTAATACTAGAATTATCTAAGAAATGGTATAATTATATCTCTTTATAATTCTTTTCAACTAAAAAAATTAAAGTTATGGGCAAAACATATAATATATTTTATTTATTTATTAAAAGGCAGGATTTTACTATTTTATCTGCTTCAATACTTTTATATAATTTAGCTCGACTTTATAAGGTTTATTTAGTACTACCAACAGTTATCCATTTTAGTATTTTAGAAATGAAAAATATCATATAGTTGCAGATAATCGCCTGTTTACGAATGGAACAATATATCAAATACAGATTTCATTTCTTAGCACTGTAAACATTGTATTAGTCAATGTAATTTCAAATAAATTCATTTAAATTAAAAAATAAAAATTTTAATAAAAACTATTTAAAATTTCAATACAGATTACTACCAAAAATTAATCTTAAATTAATATAAGAAACTATTAAATATTTTTTATTGATAAAAATCTAAATTTAATTGAAATCATAGATTCAAAAAAATTTTAATAATTTAAACAATTTCATAATTATAAAATAATGAATAATTTTTTAGATGGAATATAATTTATATCTGATATAAGATTACCTTACTAAAGTAGAAACCACAAATTCAATATTTAAAGATGTATATTCAGTATAACTAAATAATCCAATACACTATGATTAACTTCTTGTTTCTGATGTAATAAGTTTTCCAAATGTAAAAATTAGCATTAAACTTTTTCATAAATGTTTTATTTATTTTCTATTTTTTAAAATTTCAATTAGATCTCATTTATTGTAGCTTATGATTTCTAATAAAATGCTTTTAGATATTTTGATGTGTAAAATTTATCAGAGTTATAATCAACAGGAGTAACTTTGCCTTTTATTGATTAACATACCTTTTTGTAATATAAGGTATTTATCAACTTCATAAAATAAAAAGAATTTATATATTTCATTTTAATAAATAATAGAACACAATTTTTATTGGTACTTCTTAATATGTTTTAACATATATCTCTTCATCAAATAAAGTTAAAATTTCTTTAAGTGAGAATACGTCATAATACTCATACTCACTACCTAACTACCATATTTTTTTATATGCTATTTCATATGTAAGAATTTCCTTTAAACCTAAAAATACAACAAAGTTTATTTATTTAAATTAGTCCTTCACGTATTAGGTTTTTTAAGGGAGTGATCAAAAATTAGTAAATATTAAATAAACTCATAATTTTTGTGATCCTAGTTGTATAAGATGTAATTCAATAACTGCCTGCAATTTGTGCTCATCACCTCTTTACTTAGATAGTCAATTTTAATGTGTTTTTACATGCCCTAATTAATTTGTTCCAAGTAATTCAAACATTAATTGCGTTTGCAGGTCTAATAGTACATTACAAAAGTAAAATTGATTTAAGACTAAAAGATTTTCTAAATTCTAATTTTTAATCTACTGAAAATAATAAATTTAATTCCTTTTAAATATTTTTAGCTAAAGTTGCCCCTGTAACACATCATATGTTGATATTAATGGAAATTGCCTACCTTGCCCATAATACTGTAACACATGTACCTCTTAAACAACTTGCTCTAATTGTCAAAACGGGTATTTACTTTCAACAGATGGTACCTGTGTTTCTACTTGCCCAACTAATTTTATCCCAGATTAAACTAACACATATTGTGTTTGCCGTTTAAATAGCACTTAATCAAAGTAATTTTTATAAAAATAATTATAGCTTCCTTATTTTAATCTATTGAAAATAATAAATTTAATTCCTTTTAAATATTTTTAGCTAAAGTTGCCCCTGTAACACATCATATGTTGATATTAATGGAAATTGCCTACCATGCCCATAATACTGTAAGACATGTACCTCTTAAACAACTTGCTCTATTTGTCAAACAGGGTATTTACTTGCAGCAAATGGTACCTGTGTTTCTACTTGCCCAACTAATTTTATCTCAGATTAAACTAACACATATTGTGTTTGTCGTTTAAATAGCACTTAATCAAAGTAATTTTTATAAAAATAATTATAGCTTCCTTATTTTATCATCTAATTTTTAATCTATTGAAAATAATAAATTTAATTCCTTTTAAATATTTTTAGCTAAAGTTGCCCCTGTAACACATCATATGTAGATATTAATGGAAATTGCCTACCTTGCCCATAATACTGTAACACATGTACCTCTTAAACAACTTGCTCTATTTGTCAAACAGGGTATTTACTTGCAGCAAATAGTACCTGTGTTTCTACTTGCCCAACTAATTTTATCCCAAATTAAACTAACACATATTGTGTTTGCCGTTTAAATAGCACTTAATCAAAGTAATTTTTATAAAAATAATTATAGCTTCCTTATTTTATTATCTAATTTTTTATCTATCTATCTTTAGTTTGCAATGCCCATGCAATACAGGTTACATAGATGTAAATGGTGATTGTAAATCATGTCCATCAAATTGTGATGTATGTACAAGCTAAACAGTTTGTTTTCAGTGTTCTATAAATTATTATTTGACAGTATAATAAACTTGTGTTTTTCCTTGTCCTTAGACATTCATAATTGATTCTGCTTCAAAAAAATGTGTTTGTGGTGCAAATAGGACATTATAAAAGTAATTATTTTACAAAAATTATTTTTTTGATAAAAAAATATTTTAATTTGAAAATAAAAAATTTTGTTTTTTTTATTCATTAAATATAGTAATTTATGTCCCTGCAATTCTTCATATGTAGATATTAATGGTGACTGTTAACCATGTTCTTCTAATTGCTTATTATGCACTTCATAAACATCATGCACAATTTGCTAATAGAGTCATTACTTAACATCTGAGATGACTTGTGTAGCATAATGCCCATTAACATTTGTAGTAAATGCAAATCAAACCAAATGTATATGCGATACAAATAGAACATTAACAAAGTAATAAAATAATTAATTTCATAAATGTTAAAATAATATTTTTAAAATTAATTAAAAAGCAATAAATGCGTTTGTAATAGTGGTTTTATAGAAATTGATGGTATTTGCTAATCATGTCCACAAAATTGTAGTACTTGCTCGTCACAAAAAATATGTACAGTTTGTTAGATAGGGTATTATTTAACTGCAGATGGTATTTGTACCTAATCTTGTCCATTAAAATTTATTGTAAATTCTACTTAAACTAAATGTGTTTGTGATATAAATAGAACTTTAACAAGGTAAAATAAAAGAAAATTAACAAAAAATATAATTTTAATTGATATAATTAGTAATTTATGCCTTTGTAGTGAAACATTCATTGAAGTTGATGGTATATGCTAGCTATGTCCATAAAATTGTAAGAAATGCTCATCCTTAACTACTTGCTCAGTTTGCCAAGATGGATTTTATTTGACTATAAATTAGACTTGTGTTTCCTAATGTCCTAATAGTTTTATTGTTGATGTTTAATAGAACAAATGCATCTGTGCTATTAATTAATCACTTTTTAAGTAATTGCCTATTCATATCTCAATTTACAAAAGGCTATATAAATTTCTAAAAAATTTTTTTTTAAAAAGACTAAAGTATTTAATTAAATAATTTTTAAAAATATCATTTTCTTTTACACTCCTCCCTCCTTCTTAATTTTATCTTTTTTTATTTATTTTATTAAAGATGTGAAATAAATTTTAAATTTTATGAAATTAGCAACTAATGTATTACATGCCAAGATGGATGCATTCAATGTACTAGCCCATCTCCATCTGATTGTTTGTAATACTCTAATTGTGGTTAATAATTTAAATATGACTTCTTATCATAAACCTGTATATAATGTTTATGGGATTTTTAAGCAAGAAAATGTGTAGATACTTGTAAAAATTAATAATTTTATGATTCATAAAAATAACTTTGCTCATAATGTTTTTATCATGATGGAAAATGCTAAAGTAAATGTCCTAATGGTTTTTACTCTGACAATACTTTTTAATGTTAATAGTGTAATTCACAATGTAAATCATGTAATGGGCCTAATAGTAATCAATGTACTAGCTGTGAATTACCACTTATTTTATAAGATGACAGTAGTTGTTCTATCTGTAAATTAGGAGAATTCTTAGATTAATAATAAAAGATTTGTAAAAAATGCAATGTCAACTGCCTAACCTGCTTTGGACCGAATTCAAATAACTGTTTATCTTGCATACAAGATTAAGTTCTATCAAAAGATAATAAAAAGTGCTTGAATTAATCTTAAATTTAAAGTGAAGACACAAATAAATTAAAGATGAAATATTCTAATTGTAAGTTTTAAATTTTACAATGATAAAAAATTAATTATATAATTTTATTTTACAGGTGATTTAACGAACTTTGATTGCTCATCTCTTTTTTCTCTATAAGAGTTTATTTAAAAAGTTTCTTTAGGCGTTTTTATTACTACCATTATCTCCCTCTTTTTATTTTTAATTTTTAATCGTTAGAATGGATTGTTAGGCTGGTACTGTATTTAGATATTTTAGCTGATAGGAAATTTAGCTTTAAATAAAAATATGAACATATTTTGGTTAAATATAGGATTTTTAAAGAATTTTCTTGCAAGCAATTTCTTGAATTTGATTACTAATAATCAATTTTAAAATGTTAATGATATTTAAATAGATTTTAACTTATATTAAATTGGCATATAAATTTAATATTTCTACAAAAATATATTACAAAATTGTTTTTATCAATTGATAGGATTAGCTTTTATCCTTTTTTTAATGATGAAAACTTATTTATTGAAAAACCAAAATGAAATATTTAAGAGAGTAAATAAATATCTAATATTTAATGGGCTTATTAGGTATTTTATGATAATCTCTAATTTTCTTATCCTTTGTATCTTCAATTCAATAGAATAAGTAAATTTAATTGAAAAGGAAAATACTTATGTAATAGTTATTTTTGGCTTAGTATATTTATCTCTTTATGCCTTTATCATAGCTTCTATTCTGATAGGTAGTTAAAATCTTAGCTAATCAATTTATGTTACATAATTAAATATACATTAAAATAAAAGAATTCGCTAATTATTTTGGTGCTTTTTTGAAGCTAGGAAAATAGCTTGTATAATAATAATTGTATTCTTTAATGAATATTAATTTAATGGAATAATTCTTTCAGTAACAAGCTTACTATTTGTAGTTTATTTATTAATTTCAAAACCAATAGAGATAAAATAGTAATTAATAGTCATTATTTTATCAGAGATCATACTGATATCACTTTTTATAATGTTTGAATTTATATCCAATAGAGAATAGTTCAGTATAAATCCATAAATAGCCACATATTTATCATTATGTAAATATAATTTTTTTTAGATTTAAAATTTATTTTCTTATTTCATAATTATAGGTTTTGTTGCATCAACTACAACTCTTAGCATAATATTTATTATAGCATTAAGTTTAAGTCTTTATTAACAATTGGATAATCATTTTAAAAATAGAAAAGATGAAAAGATAAAAAAATAAAATTAGCAGCCAATTATAGAAAAATTTGAAAATTTGAATTCCATTAGCGATATTTAAAATATATTGTCCATTTCGTTGAAAAACAATAAAATAAAATGGTAAAAATACAATGCCAAATAAATATGAACATGACATGAATAAAATAATACATTTAAATGAAACAAACTAAAAATGAAATTAAATAAAAGCCATCTTTTTATCGAAAAATTATATTTATCAAATAATTTAAATATGAATATAATTTGGGTAACTCTCCCTTTTTATACACCACTGTCTAAAGGATTTAATTAATATACTGTCCCTTAAATATAAAAACAAAAAAACTTAAAAAAATAGGAAATCAAAATAAATTGTTAAAATTATCTATTGATTTATATTTGTAATAATAAATACAATTTAATTTTAAATTATTAAAAAATAAATAAATTTTTTCATTTAATTATTTTACTCAACTAATCCTTGTATTTTATTGTAATGCATCAAGGAGTAGCTAATTAATTTAGCTCAAATTAAGATTAATCCTTTTTTGTTGAGAATGCTAAAATATAATGCTTTTATTTGATAGGTGCTTATTTATTATCTTTTTTATGTAGCTGGGTAAATCAATTTATTTAATAATTTCCAAGTTTAATTTTTATTTTTCAATATAATTTATCAGATTTAAATGGCATTTTGGATGATTTCTGGTGAAAGATAAGCAATTGAATGCAGGAAATAATATTAGTGGCTTGATTTTAGGTGAATACTTTGATGTACTACTTGATCCTTAAAAATCTGGCTTTTAAGAGAGAGCAGATATGATTTCCTTTTACTTTTTCATCTTTGCAGTAATAATGTATTTGCTCTAAAATGTGTTTTTCACTAGGTATTTTTATTAAGCCTCTAAATTGGCTTATTTAAATATATTATAATTAATTAAAGAGTAGGTGAAGGTTTAACTTTAAGGATGAGAAAAGAAGTTTACTCAAAGCCACTTAAAATACCTTGCTCTTGGTTTGATTAACCTAATAATAATCCTGGGAATTTAAGTACCAAGCTTTATTAAGATGGATAATATATCAACTAAATTATTTCTAGTATCATACCTACTCTAATATAAAATTTATCTTATTAAAGAATTAGGTTAGCCTTGGGTTTTACTTATTCTTAGTAAATCATCTTATTGGAATGGTTTCTGCTCTTCTAATGATTATTTGTGCTAAGTTTTAAGCTCAGTTTATTTAAGGATATAGTGAAAATAAATACTGATGAAGCATACAAATAAGCAAGTTAGATCATTATGGAGAGTGAGTCTAATATTCGTACAGTTGCTTCTTTTTATAATGAGAATTAACTCAATATTTTTTTGTCAGAAAAATTATTTTTACCTCTTTAATTGGTAAAATCAAAAGGCTAAATTTCTGGTGTTTTTCTTAGTTTATCTTTCGTTCTATCTTTTGGAATTATAGAATAATCCTTTATTGTGGTGTTATTTTTACTTAAAATTAAATTGTAAGTGATACAGAATTGTTTATGCCTATTTTTTCTGTTCTTTTTGATGCTTTTGGTATAGGATATAACCACTAATTAATACCAAATATCGTTCTAGCTATAAACGCAGCAAATAATCTTTTTGGTATAATAAATTAAAATGATGAAGTTTAGATTTGTTAAGACCAAGCATAGCAACTAAATTTAAAACCAATTGCTTAACAAACTTAATAAAGCATTTAAGGAAACATTGAATTTAGAAATGTCTCATTTAAATATCCATCCATCTAGAGATTAGCATGTTTGTTTTCGAGAATATATCTTTCAAAATTAAAGCAGGTTAAAAGGTCGTCTTTGTTGGACCAAGTGGTTCAGATAAATCTTCAATAATATAGCTCTAATTGAGGTTCTACACAAACTATGAAGGCGATATATTTGTAGATGGTAAAAATCTAACTGAATATTATTATTTGAATAACTATCTCTAGAATTTCGGTGTAGTGAGTTAAGAGCCAATTCTTTTTAACTCAAAAATAGAAGAAAACATTTAGTTTATTGAGTCATATTAAAATGGAGAGAAACTTAAAGAAAAAGAAGATAAGTAGTCAAACTAAATTATTAACAAAATTGGAGAAGGGTTTAAGAGAAAAGTAGGTCCTAAGGGAAGTTAGCTTTCTGGTGGATAGAAATAAAAGCTATAGCAATAGCAATAATTAAAAATCCTAATATAGTGCTTTAGACCTTTAGAATGAAAAGATCGTATAAGAAGCTTTAGACTAACTGATGAAATAGAAAACTTCAATATATATAGTTCATAGATTATCAAAAATAAAGGATAGTGATAAAATATATGTTATTGAATCTGGAAAAATGCTTTAGGAGGGTATATATGATGAATTAATCAATAATTTCTATAGACTCAATACTCTTTGAAAAAATATTTGATTTCTAATAAATAATTTGATTTCCATCCATAAATAGTTTTATGAGTTATTCAATTAAAAAAAATTATTAAATAGTATATTTATTTATTCTATTAAAAATAAATTTAAATTACCTTATTTTTTAAAAATTAACTCTTTTACCTGCTTGATTTATTCATAAATTTTTTAAGATATGATATTCAAATGAGCAAATTCAGTAAATTAAATTAAATTAATTAAAAATTTTAAAGATCATAAGTGATGATTTGAAAATATGTAATCAATCTCTTTAAATAATAAATTAATCATTTATTTTGGTTTTTAATTGGTATAAAAGAATTAAATTTTAGCTCTACATAAAAAATTAAAAAATATCACAAATTAATTTTTTACCTTCAAAAAATACAATAATAAATTAACTATAAATAACTAGTAATATGATCAATCAATCTTATTAGTTTTATGATAGATTGATATTTATTTTTATAAAAGTAAATTTTAAAAGCTCCTTAATAGGAATCAAAAACTCAAGTTTAAATTCTTTCAACTTTACTTGAATTGAAAATCACAAATTGTCTACAATTTTTTTAATTAAAATTTTGCATGAATTATACTTTGAAGTTTTGTAAAATTGATCAATTAATATTAATTAATAAGGAAAATAAAAAATCAAATATCTGATTAGATTGAAATAATATGGGTTTTATATCTCTTATTTTAATTTTTTTATCAATTTTACTACCAAATTTTAAATGCGGTGATCAGTTACCTATAGAAATAAAGTCAGATGTTCTTTATATTGAGGTATTATTTCTTAAATGGCAAATAAAATTTACAAATTTCTTTTAAATTATTAGGAATTTTAATCATTAATCTACTAAAGTAAAAGTGATTCAAAATGGAGATATAGCACATTAGATAGTAGCGGAAACATATAATAAACAATTATAATAAATAATTTTGGTTAAACTATAACAAAAGATACAACTTATTTTGTGGAATAAGTAAATTAAATGATATTTTGTTGCAATTATATATACTTTAAAATAAAATTTTAGGATAAAATTATATATATACTGACTTTTGGAGAATCAACATACTCTGTTATTGATACAAGTAAGCTCAATATTGATCCTGATGGGTCTTATAAATCATAAGAAATGAGCCCAACTTAATGTGATATAAAGTAAACCATTATTATGAAGCAAGTAATTAACTAAATTCTATCAATTTTATTAAGATATAAAGTTATTAAAAATTAAAAGAAAAGTTTATATTTGCTGATTTGTTTTGAAAAGTTAAATTCTTTTTTTGTCACTGATACTTCATTCCTTGGTTTATTTAGTAGCAAATAAATAACAAGTACAAATAAAGGCATGAGAAATGAATAATAATTCTTTTATTATGATGGATTTATTTTTTTGTAAGGTCAAAAGTATTAGATAAAATTTATAGATAAAAAAACTATTGATATCTTGGTGGTTAATGTAGATTTTATATTTTTAAAGTATGTTATTATATATAACCTATATTTTGATAATTTAAAATTAGTAAGATTTCAACCTATATTTGGTTGAATATTAGCTGTCTTTATTTTCATTTAGTGACTAAGTTATGACTTAAACAAAAAGAGTATCGCTTGGAGCTACCTCAGAAAACATTTTAATGTCTAAAATAATTAGCTTCACAAATGTAAACAAAAAATAAATGATAAATAATTAAAATTCTTATTTATTAAGAAATCTTTTTTATTTATTTAGATGTTTGTAATTTTTGCCTATAATCAAGACACAAACAAATTTGAATTCTTTAATGCATAGACACTATAAAAAATTTAGCAAATAGGAGAAAATATGATTTATATTGATTATCAGAGCTTTATCTAAAGAGATGTAACAATTAATATTTGATTAAAACTTTGTTAAATTTACTTATTTATTTTATGAAATAGAAAGATGTATTTATTGGAAAGAATTGGTATAAAATAGATTATGATTCTAATCAAAAGTAAATTTTAGTATAATTGATAAGATCAGATTTACCTTATTCTTATCAGCTTAGATACAAGCCATTTCAATCTTATAATTTTAATAATGTAATTAGATTTTAGATTTTTTTCATGAATTAGTATTTCATAATATTTGATTTTCTATTTCGTTGGCTGGAAACAAATTATTATAATTGAAATATACAAATAGAATAATATAATTGAATGCTAAATAGACTCAAAGAATTATTTGACTGATATCAATTTTATGTATGGGCTCTGCACTGATGGATGCAAGGACTGTAAAACAGATACTTCGTGTTAAAACTGTTAGAAAGGATCTTTTCTCGACTTTAATTAAAAATGTGTTTAGTCTTGTCCCACTACATACAAGTAAGATAATATTAAAAACATATGCGTTTGTGATAAAGATAGAGTAGAATCTAAAAAGTAATTTATCTTTTACCAACCAATTAAAAATTTATCAAAACTAAAATCTAATTTAATAAAAAGCCATACATGCGATTGTAAAGATGGTTTTTATTTAAAAAATCAAAATTGTGAAAAATGCTCTGCAAATTGCTTAAAATGCTCAGATTCACAAGAATGTTAAAAGTGTTCAGATGGTTACTTTCTTTAATTTGATAAAACTTGCTAAAAAATATGCCCACCAGATTAACAGTAAGATAAAGCTAATTAAACATGTAAATGTGATTAAAATGCGTAGTTATCCTTGTAAATTAAATTAAGATTTTTAATAGACGTAAATCACTAATTGATTTTAACATTTTATATATAAAGAGGTTAATGCAAATGCAATGATGGATTTTACATGAATGGAAATTAATGTGTAGTTTGTAAAGAGAATTGTGCCACTTGCAATGATGGAGATAACTGCGTGAAATATAAAGAATGCAATTCTTTTTAAATTTTTGACCCAAACCAAAAATAGTGTATATGCAAAGAAGGATATTATACTAATGGTAAGGATTGTAGTCCTTGTTAGGAAGATTGTTTGATATGTTATGATTCTAAAACGTGCTTAAAGCAAAAAGAGTGTGGGGAAATGTAAAAATATGATAATTAATTAAAAAAATGCACTAAATGTCTATGGGATACTGATAAAAAGATATGCGTAGAAGAGTGCTAGCCTGAGTAGTATAAAGATACTGTGAAATTAATTTGCATAAAGTGTGATAATTAATAAAAAGGAAATTGTGTGGTTAATTGCCCACTCAAACAATATTATGATTATGAAATTTAAAAATGCCTTCCTTGTCACTCCTCTTGCAACAGATGCAAAGGAAAAAAGGAAAATTAGTGTATTAATTGTGTAAGTCCTTTGATCCTATAACCTGATTCTACTTGCTCGCATTGCGAATAAGGACAATTTTTAGATGAAAAAACCAAAATATGCGAGTAGTGCTACTACAAATGCAAGTAATGCAAAGGAAAATCTGAGGATGATTGTATATCTTGTGTTTAAGATTTTGTGTTATCATCTACAAATTAAAAATGCATAACAAAAAACGAAGCATCAGAAGAAGATACTTTATCAAAAAAACTTGAATATTCAGAATGTAATTTAAAAAATTTAATTACACTTTTCTTATATTGTAATCTTTTTATCTTGATTTGATTTTATTTATTTTTATCAACTCATAGAATTTTTTTGATTTATAATTGCACCGTAAGAAATTAATCAATTCTGATGAATTTAATGATTACGATAAAACTATATAAAATTTGCGGGCTAATTTATTAATAGTTTTTTTGAATTAAAAAGGTTAAGATTCTTCAAGTTTTGATTGTCAAACTTAATAAAACTTCTTAGACCTATTTTAAAGTCTGCACTAAATTATGTTTTTTGCATTTTTGCCACTTTCAGTACTCTGTTTGCTATTTGTTCCTAATATTAGGCAACAAATATTTTACTTTATTTAAGTACAATAAATAGTAGGTAATTTTATTATGGACAAAAGATTGAATTTATTATGGTTAAATGTAGGCTTTCTAAAAGTATAATATGGTTTTAACATTTTAAATATTATTTCGTTCTTGAATCAATAAAAAAAAGAAGAAATTGTATATGATCTGAATTAATTTGATATAGGGATAAACGTCTAAAATTTGTCCTTAAAATTTCTTGATAACTGCTTAATTCAAATAGTTATATTAGCTATTTTGTTAATCTGCATGATAGTAGTTTTCTTTCTTAAAAGTGAGTCTCGTTTGATGACAGAAATAAAAACGTATTTCAATATTAACTTTTTGATAAGATATTTTATGATTTGCTCAAATTAACTTTTTCTATCGGCTTTGATATGTTTGAAAGAAAAATAAATATTAAAGCAAAATAATATTTATTTTATTTTGCCTTTCCTTCTTATTTACATAGTTTAGCTGCTTTATTCTATTTATATTCTCTTATTCAGCAACTCTTTTGCTCTAATTGACTCAGTTTAAGTACTAAGAATTAGTAGTGAGTAAAGTTAAAAAATGTAGAATTTTTTCTGGATCTTTTTTGAATTTAAAAAATTATCCTCTCTTATACTTATTTATTTATTTTAAGATAACTTATATGCTACATTTATTATACCTGCTTTGAACTTGATTTTTTTAATCTACTTTATTGCTTTTAAGCCATTTTAAAACTCAATTTAAGATAAACTGGGATGTTTAATTGAATTTATCAGTATAATTCTTATTTCCTGTTTGGCAGCTATATCAAACAGAGAAAAATTAGGAATAAGCAATAACCATGCACTCAACTTTGAAATAGGTAAGTTAGTTTTTATTTTTAATATTTATAATTAATTTATTTATATAAATTAAAATAAGTTTTTGTATCCTTCTCTCTGGCTCTATTAGCTCAATAAATAATCGTTTGTTGTCTTTACTTTTTCAATTCTATAAAAAACTATTTCATCAACAGAAGAAATTAATAGATTTAAAATGCAAAATTGTAAAATATTCCACTAACATCTTCATTCTAAATGATTGAATCTATAAATAACATCTAATCTATACTATCTTCAACAAAATTTAGCAAAATTATCTTAAAAAAAAATGTTTATAAATGAAAAATCCTTATCAAAATTTGTTTATAGTTTTTTGACTACTTTATATTGTTAATAATTTATCTATCAATTTATTTAATATTCAAAAAATTATTTTAAGTTCACAACCTTAAATTTACTTTATTCTTAAAAATACCTTATTCTTTATTTTAATTAATAATAAGTAAATAGATTATTAAATAAATAAATAAACTAGATGTATTTTGTGTATTTTTTTATAGAATTTATTTTATTAAAATATTAATAAAAAAGGTAAAATTAAAAAAATATTTTGGAGGATTTAATTTAATTTCTTTCTTTCCTTTTTGTTGTAAAATAAATTTAATGAAGTTATTTATTTGATGCTCAATATTGCTATTTTATATTTAATTTAAAATATGTTGTGTAATTAATATTTTATTGTTCTTATCTTTTAAATTTTCAAACATAAGCAATTATATTTTATTTATGATTTTATGTAATTAAGGAAATTAAAAGAAATTTATATATCTTTTGCTTAGCATAATATATTTGAAATTATATAATAAATAACAATTATAAATTTTTTAACCTATAACAAATTTAAAAATATGAATCATGTGAATATCAAATAAATATGAAATTAATATAAATTTATGAATTAGATTAAAAGAATAGGATTAGAAGTTAATTGGTTTATATTTAAAGCAGAAATGGCTAAAAAAAATAAGCAAATATTTTATTTGAGTTTTTAGGAATTATAAATATGTTAAAATATTTTAAATTATTTCAATTCACTTTTAAGTAAGTATCTTACAAATATTATCTATTATTACAGGAAATATTTACAAATTTTTCGGCTTAATTTATTTTTCTCAATAAATTTACAGATGATATTCAATCCTTACTCGAAACTAAAATACTTATTAAATCATTATAGAGATTAATACTGTAGTTAGATTTTTTCCCTGAGTACAAAATCAGCATATTTAACTCATTTTATTTTAATATTTTTTAAATTATGTTTATATATTTATCTTTAAATATCGATATACCGTAATTCCTCATTAATTAAGGACATTTTAGAAAATTTTTGGAAAGTAAAAAGAATTTTTTCACTCTAAGAAAAAATTTTTTATGTTCAAAATTTAGAAAAGGCATTAAATTCTAAAAAAAGATTTTCAAAATTTAATAAAAAAAAATAGAAAGTGTAAAATTAGCTTAAAACCATAAAAATTAAATGAAATATCAACCATCTCTACCTACACAGTTGGTGATATTTTAATTACAGGATTAGCAATAATTTTTATACTTCTTAACTTTAAATTTAAATTTACTCTTAATAAGAAATTATTTAACAAATTTGTCTTTTAGCAAAATGAAAAAAAATAGAGATTTAAAAATTAATTTTTCAAATAAACCACAATGCTCTCACTACTCAGAATATATAAATTTATTAATGAAGTTATTTACAGTTTTTAAATATAATATCAGTTATATTTATATATTTCTCAGATGATTAAAAATAACAAAAGCATAGTAAAAGCCAAAGTTAACAAGTTTGTGCCAGTATAAGGACTACGAATAGAGTTAGCTTAGCAAATATTATTTGAATCAGCAGTTTAGCCATTAGAGCAACTGGCAACACAAGCTGTTGCACTGAAAAATTTACCTGCAGCATAGACTGTATGAGCTTTAGTGGCACCATTGCAAGATTTACACATCCAACCGTTAAGATTAGCACCTGGATTAGCAGTACAATCTATAACTTCACAATTTGGAGTTGCAGAAGGTGTGAATAAAGCTTATATTGTAGGATTAGTACTGCATCCTTTGCAGTCAGTAGACTTACCACCAGTTGTACCTGCAGAACCACAAGCAACATCAGCTCCTGGAACGGGAATTAATTAACAAATATTATTTTTATCAGCAGAATAGCCTAAAGGGCAAGTGGCAACACAAGTATTTACACTGAATAATTTACCAGCAGAATAAACTGCATTAGCAACAGGGTTACCATTACAGGATTTACACATCCAACCATTAAGATTAGCACCTGGATTAGCAGTACAATCAATAACATCACAACTTGGAGTTGCAGATTCTTTGAATAAGGCTTAGATTGTACTATTAGCACCACATCCTTAGCAGTCAGTAGCCTAACCACCAGCTTAATTTGTAGTACCACAACCAACATCAGCACCTAGAATGGGTTAGCAAACATTATTTTAATCAGGAATCTAGTCTAAAGGGCAACTGGCGATGCAAACAGATCCATTGAAAAATTTACCAGGTTAATAAGCTGCATGAGCAAAAGGGTTACCATTACAGGATTTACACATCCAACTATTGAGATTAGAAAATGGATTACCTGTACAATCAAAAACTCTACAGTTATTTGCTGCAGAAGGTAGGAAATAAGTTTACATAGTATAAGTAGCACCACATCCTTTGCAGTTAGAAGCATCACCACCAGCTTAATTTGCAGTACCACAAGCAACATCTGCTCCGTAAATTGGTTAGCAAATATTATTCAGATCTGGAGTATAACCAGGACTGCAAACACTTGCACAAGCAGTTCCTTGTAGATAAACTCTACCAATACCATAAACACTAGTAGTTAAATTACTGCAAGATTTACACATCCAACCATTGAGATTACTAGTTGGATCAACAGTACAATCATTAACTTTACAAGCTGGAGATGAAGAAACTACGAAAAAAGCTATGGCTGCACCAGTAGTACCACATCCTTAGCAGTTAAGACTACTACCATTTGGATTTTAAGTACCACAATTAACATCTTTACCGCTTGCATTTACAGATGAAAATATAATTGAGATTACAGCTAAAATAGCTAAAAATTTATTCATTCTTGGAAATTTTTTTTATAGTTTTTTATTACTTTAATTAATTAATTAATTAATTAATTATATTTACATTTCATTTATTTTATGATTTAAATCAATTTTTGAAAACAATCGCATCTTTGATGGGGAATTTTTTTTTTTATGTTTTAAAAGTATGGATAAGTAATAAGGTTAAACAAAAAATTTTTAAAAATAATATATTGATGCTATTCAGATACAATCTTCATCACTTGCAGCAAAAATAGCGATATTTTAAGGATTAAGAATTAACTTGTTATATAATGGATGGATGGATGATGTATGAATATGAGTTAAATTTTCATATGCACTAACTATATATATAAATAAAAACCATAAATAACAAATATTACTAGTAATCTAATTTTTCAAAGCAATAGCTGATTTCAAATTTGTCTAATCTATTATTTTTGTTTTCAATCATTATTAAGGTTGCTTGTAATTTAAAAATGTATAAGCTTGAAAAGAAAAAGTATAATTTTGTTTGAGTTTTTGACATTTAATATAATTCTACAAGATATAAAATATTGATTTTTTACACAAAAATATAAATTAAGCTTTTAAGAAGAGTTTTGATAGAAATTAACGCAATTAACTACAATTTTTTTCCAAAAAATTTCAGTATCTTTAATTAAATATTACATTTAATACACGAAAAGTATAAATTAATTAATATTTTTAAGAGGAGGGAATTTTGAAAGAAATTAACACCATCAACCACTCTTTATTCCACAAATATTTTTTCCTTAATCAAATATTAGATATTATACACAAAAATATATAAATTAAGCTTTTTAAGAAGAATTTTGAAACAAATTAGTGCTAACAACTACTCTTTTCTCCACAAATTTTCTGTGTCCTTAATGAAATATTACATTTTATACACTAAAAGTATAAATTAATTAATATTTTTAAGAGGAGTTTTGAAAGAAATTAATACCATCAACCACTCTTTTTTCCAGAAATTTTCTGTTTCCTTAATCAAATATCAGATTTTATACATATAAATAAAAAAATTATGCTTTTTAGGAAGAGTTTTGAAAGTAATTAACTCAATAGCTACTCTTTTTTCCACAAATTTTCTATATCCTTAATTAAATTTAGATTTTTACACAAAAACATAAATTATATAAGCTTTTTAAGAAGAGTTTTGAAAGAAATCAACACTTTTAATCATTCTTTTTTTCCACTATTTTTCTGTTTAATCAATTATCAGATTTTATACGCATAAATATATAAATTAAGCTTTTTAAGTAGATTTTGAAAGAAATCAACGCCATTAACCACTCTTTTTATCAACTATTTTTCTGTTTCCTTAATCTAATATTAGAATTTATACATATAAATAAAAAAATAATGCTTTTTAGGAAGAGTTTTGAAAGTAATTAACTTAATAGCTACTCTTTTTTCCATAAATTTTCTGTATCCATCCTTAATTTAATTTAGATTTTATACACAAAAATATAAATTAAGTAAGCTTTTTAAGAAGAGTTTTGAAAGAAAATACAAATTTTCATAGAAAAAAACTAGTTCGAACTTAAATATATATATTTTTTGCTTTCAATCAATTAATTTTGGGTTTTTGAAAATAAAGAAACAAAGTTTACAATAAAAAGCATTGATAAATATATTTTAAGCACAAAAGCCGTTTTTTAAGAGTATTATTTCTTGAAACAGTTTAAAAATTAAAATGATCTTGTAAATACTTTGCTATAAAAGATATTCTTTAAAGATATAATATGAAATTAAATATACTGATAAATGAAAATATATATATGGATATTTAAAGATATGTAAAATAAAAATAATTTAAAATTATTAATTAAATGTAAAGTGAGTCAAATAAGTTGATCTTGTGCCTGTGACATGATTTCACTACAGTATTAATCTCTCATTATTAATAATGTAATTTAATATTAATTTGTAAAAGAATTTCTAAAAGATTATGATATTTTTTAAAGCTTACAGTCCAATTTGCTGCAATAGTTTACTTCAAAATATTAGTTTAATAAAATTACATTCCCTATAACAAAAAACCATTTCATGCTTTCATTGATTTCAAATAAAGCAAAATTTATCCAATTATCTATAAAAAAATATGAGCTAATTATTAAGAATTTTTTTAAATATAAAAGTAAAGCCAAATAAAGTACAGAA